GCTCGGCAGCAGGACTGTGGGGAGGAGGCGTAGGCCGCCGCAGCGCCGCCGCCGCGCGGAGAGGGCGGCGGGGGCAGGCTTGCTCGGGAGCGGCGGCGGGGACGGCGGGGCCGAGGGGGAGTCGGCCGAGGGGGACACGGCGTCTTCGGAGGCGATGGAGGAGAGTAGCTCGTCTAGTCCGGCGTCAAGCCCGGGCTCGTCGGGGAGGAAGGTGGGGAGCTTGTCTCCGGACGAGTAGCTCGGCCCGCTGGTGGAGGGCGAGTGCTCGAGCCCAGCTGCGTCGAGCCCACACTCGTCGAGCAGCGAGGCGGCGCAAGGCGAGCCGGTGCTGCTCGAGCGTCCAGTGTACGGCGAGGCGGGGCGGTCGAGCAGCGAGGCGGTGTCCGTCGCGGAGCTATGGGAAGCGAGCGGCAGCGGCACAGCCGAGTGCGCGAAGCTGAACGGCAGAGGCACGACAGGAATGAGTGTGCGGGAGATCTGGAAGTCGACGCGGTCGCCGAAGTTCGAGAGCTCGGCCAATCCGGGCAGCGGCACCGGGCTCTCGTCCCGCAAGACCACAAGCTTCGCGCCCGTGCAGTCTGCAGTCTGGTTCACGACTCGGAACGCTGGCATGTGCGACGTACGCGTCGGCTCATTCCAGACCCCACCCGTCTTACGGTTGACAATCACCGCGCTGTCAACGCCGACCGGTATCCGAACCCTCGACACGGGTACGCTCACGCCCCTCTCCCTGCATCGCCGGCAAAAGTGCTCACGAAAAGCATTCTTTGTGTTTGGCGGCAGCGCCTCGCATCCCAGCTCGCCGCCCGAGATGGCGTCGCCCCAGCACATCTCCTTGAATTGGTGGCGCTTGCGCTTTGGCGATTCGGTGGACGCAGTGCTCGCGAGGAGCGTCGTGTCGAGCATCGCCACAGGTTGTTCATTGCGCTATGCGAGATCGCCGTCGCAACGGGGGTTGGGGCCTGGCGAGGTACTTCCAGCCTGCTGTGGGAACAGCTGACGCAGTCTCGCCGAGGCTCGCCCCAGCAGGCGTGACCTGCCTCAGCAGTGCCAGGTCGGCCTGACTCGGCGCTCGATTCAGCCTCCGAGGCCCGGCATCTGACCAGTGGGTGCACTGGACAGACTCGTGGAGGTGGTGGCAAAAAGTCCGACGCGACGCGTCCACCCGACTGCGCGGCTTGACGGCTGTCGTGCTGCGGGCACGACAGCCGTCAAGCTCTTGCCGCCGTACCGGTCGGCTGGAGACGCGCGCGCGCGACTCCCAGGGCAGTCTTTGGCATGGCCTCGCCTGCCTGCGCACCCGTGCGTGCATGTCGCGCGCAAACATGGTCCTGCACGTTGGCGCTGCCCACCATTGCGCCATTGCGCGCATGTGGACACGACCGTCGGTGACCACAGCAGCGTGTGCGTCTTGTGATGTACATGTATTTTAGCTCTAAAACTCGCCCGGCGAACACCGACTGCGAGAGAGGGATCGCACGCGCGCGGCGCGCCAGCAGCAGCCCGGGGGGAGGGCGCGCTCCGTCTCTGCCTCTGCGCAGAGCTCTGGGCAAGTGCGTGTGAGGCGCGCAGAGCGCGCGTCCGTTGCACGGTCCGACTAGGGCACCAATCGGCGCCGAACGCGCGCGCCAGAGCGGGCTGGGGTCGCTTGGTACATGCCCTGGCGCGCGCCAGGACGGCTGCCGAGGGCCTGCGGCAGGGGGCGAGAACGAGTGAGGACCACCGAGGACCACCGCGAGACCGGGCGGGATCTGCTCTGGGGCGACAGGGGATGGTTGGGTATGCGTGGCTACGGGTACTATTAGGTACCACTGGAGATCTGGGACCCTTCTCGGGCCCTCTCGAGCTCTGGCGCAGCGCTGCGCTGCAGGCTGTGCGAGTGGTGTGACGGCGCGCCTCTCGGTGGTTGGGCGTAGGTCGTGCCGTTGGAGGCCCGGAGCCGCGGCGGCGAGTCGCGCATATTCGTCGCCGGCGCGCGCGCCGGCTGTGAACAAACGTAGTCGAGAGGGGGACGCACGCACGCCCCTTGAAACGAGGCTCGGCCGTCCCACAGACTTGACGAGGCGAGACACGCCTCTCAGGTTGACTCGGCCAGACAAAACCCCGAGAGGCGTGGGAGTACCTCGCCAGGTTGGGGCCGGGGTTCCGGTGACCACCCCAACGGCCCCCCCTCTCATGGCTGACCCTCATGCCTCTCATCCGACAGCCAGGGTTCGGACTTTTTGCGGGATATGGTACCCGCGCAACCCACCTCGAGACCATACCCCCCCGCCTGCTGACAGACCCAGCCTCCCGGCTGCCGGCCTCGCTCGGGCGGTCAGGAGAGAGAGAGAGATTTTTAGCAATACCAAACAACTCTAACACTCACACGTAATTTGGGGCCTGGAGCCCTGTTCACGCTTTTTGTTTGTCAGGAGTGTGTGAGAGAGAGATTTTTAGCAATACCAATTGATTGAGTGTGTGTGTGAGAGAGAGATTTTTATTAACCAACAAGAAATCACGACTCTCACAGTGATTTGGGCTCTCTCTTGTGTGTGTGTGTGTGTGTTCGTATCAAGAATACTCACTCACTCACTCGGGCGGTCAGGACCATACCCCCCCACCCTTTGGGCCGCGAGGGTACCATACCATACCCCGCACCCCGGGAACAGTCGTGATTTCTTGTTGGTCTTTAAAAATCTCTCTCTCTACCCCGGAAAAAGTTGGAAGCCAGGTGTGTATTCTCGAGGTTCTCGAGGTGGATGGATATCCTTTGGCCGCGTTGGGTAGCGAGCATTGGTGAGAGAGAGAGATTTTTTTAGCAATACCAAACAACTTGTTGTTTTTGTTGCATTGGTGTGACGCGATCCACGCAGGCGTGTTTTCTGACGGCCGACCGTCAGTGCACGGAGTTGCCCACAAGTTTCGCGGGAGTGACCCCATGCGTCAAACCCGCGACGTAGCGCGGGTGGGTTGGAGAGGGCTCGCTGCAAGGAAGGGCGGTGGAAGAGGTCGATCCTCGTAGTCCGCCCCGTTCCTCCCCATCGGGCCGCATGAGCGGCCACGCCTCGCAGATTCGTTTCTCGCGCCTGGGTCAGGCGCGCGGGGCATCCCCCGGGTCGCTCGACCAGCGATCCGAAGAGTGGCCGCTATGAGAGGGAAAGAGCGGGGCCCTCGACGCCTCTGTCCGGCCCTCCGAGGGGGGGAGGGAA